ATTCTCCTGCTATAAAAATCATCATGCTGCAAAATGGAAGTACCTATCTTACCTACCTACACAACAACATTTCGACGCTGTAAGTCCGCAATCACATATCTTGTTTGCGGTGTCTGATAATCTCCACCTGTATGTTATTTTCTTACAGGAGAACAAATTGACACCATCCCTTGAAGTTTTTGCAGAGTTTTCTTCGCTTAGAGAAGGAAAATCACGGCAGTTTTAAGGAATTACTGTTGAGTAGTTTTTCAGTAAAAAAATATAGTATGACAGGAAGTCTGCGACGTCGCAAACCGAGTTATGTGATTGCCGACTTACACGGTCGATTTGCACAATGAGCAATTGCTCTCAGTCAAAATTTTAAGTGTTTGCGCTGCTTTGCTTGCATTCTTCAACATTCTCTCCAAAATGTGGATAACAAAACATGTTAATAATGAGATGGATCATTGTCGTGGTTGTTCGTGCTGCAAAATTTTAGTTTAAATTTAAGTCCTTTCTTATCTGATGCCGCAATCACACGCTGAATGTGAGAGCTGAATGTGGCTTGAATGTAGAAGTCATCAGTCCGATGCTTGAATTTTGTGCGTGTCGCGCTACATTCAGCAACGATTCTCAGCGACCATTGGATAATGTCAGATTTGTCTGAACTTCTCGAATAGATTTGATACACATCTGGATGGAAATAAGTCGAATTTGCGAAATTTCAGCTGTTGAGCCATGACTGTTGACTTCCATATTCAGCTGCCAAATTCAGCGTGTGATTCCGGCCTAACTCAATTTACTTACACCGATATGCCTGCCTCACATGATCAATTTAGCAGCTAAATATAGGAGTCAACAGTCGACATTTTGTAAATTTGAGTTTTCTTAACAAAGATATCCATTGAATTTAGCCCAACAGTTCAGACAAACTGATTACTGCTGAGCTTGAATCTTCATTGGTACCCTTAATTTTGAGTCTTTGCAAAATTCAGGCATCCATGACTTCCACATTCAGAAAATTAGGCAGGCGTTATATACAGAGGGACATTTTGAGAGATCGCTGCGGTACCAGACCGAATGTTTCCTAATGATGATTGACATGGAATGATATTCTTAGCTATGGGGAAACAAAACTGAGCGACAACAGGCAAGTTATGAGCAAGATTTTAGAAGGCTTTAATTGATGAGATTTCATTTTCATTTTACAACACAATCAAATATTACTATGAGGGCAATGGTGACACACTCTTGATAAGTGATGTGACAGAAACTGATCATTAGATAAACAATGTTGAGCGTCACTAGAGGTAGACAAGTTTAACACACAACATTGAAGATTTAAATACACATATTATGATTGCGAGATCATCTCTAGTTCGCCTACTATGCAGCTTCTGTGAACACATAAGATTCTGTAAAGAGTCAATAGCCCTCCCGCCAGAATTTTGAAACTTGTGTTTTCGGTTTCCTCCGCCAACAGCGCGCAGGCGGGGGAACCCGAAAACACAAGTCAGGCGAAGCCATTCCGTTCCTAGACATCAGTCTTGCGTGATGTAAGTTTTTCCCTTTTTTTGAAATCAGCCCTTCGGGGCTGAATCCTTTTTGTTAGTTTTAGTGTTCATGATTGTGTGATCCATTGTGGAGGTTGGGCATAGGAGGGTTCCTCCTATTTCCGCGTTCTTTTCTTTTTTTCTCTTTTGGATGTCCTATCCGTTATCCCTCCAGGACTCCGGTCCACCAAGGCGGCTTTTCCCCTAGCGGGAAAAGTCGACCTTTACAATTCTTTCCTTAGAAAAAAAATCATTGTACATATTTTCCTAGTGAAGACAGTGCTCTGCCTTCTACAGGCAAACCTTAAAATTACAGGACTGGGCCATTGTGGCTCCTCAAAAAGTTGACATAAGTCAACATAAAGTCACATAATTCAAATTGAATGCGCCAAAATGTGTTTGTAAAAAGTTAATTAGGATCCTAAATAATGGGTTTTATTTCTGCGAAAGGGTCGCCAACAATTGCAAGGGGAAGGCAGAATGCTAAATGCAGAGATGCATTCCAAAAATTATTTACAGTAGACAACTGATGTGGTGTTTGCTCAACACTTTTTTGTTGACTTAATGAAGATTCGTCAGAACTGTCAGCACGCGGAGTAATTAATAATAATTACAGTAACATTTATGAGTTGTTTCCTTGTTAGACTTGTACTTTTTGAACAGGAGAGTATTTTATAATTTTGTTTCTTGCAGTTTAGAAAGTAGAGAAAAAGTCTAAGGAATGAAAAGAGGTTTTTTACTTACATGCTATCGAAACACTGTGCTTGAAAAGATGGGGGGCATCCTAGTGCAGGAACAGACAGATGATTGTGAACATGAACAGTTGCGGATGATTCAAAAAAAATTTACCATCAGCCGACTGTACAGTCTCTGTGAACAAATAAGGAAATTTTTTGGGTAACAATTTTAATACTCTTCACATGAAAAGATGAATTTCATTGGGTATTTTAGGTAGACACCTAAAGTGGTGATCATTCAACATTACCCTTGAGTCTTAAATTGACTTGATGAAGAATCTTCTAAACTTCCAGTTGGTGGAGTAATTAAGATTACAGTAACATTTTGATACTGTAAGTCGACAATCACATATCTCCTTTGCGGTGTCTGGAAATCTCCACCTTTATGCTATTTTTTTGAAGGAGAACAAATTGACATCATTCCTTGAAGTTTTTGCAGAATTTTCTTCGCACAGAGAAGAAAAATCACGGCAGTTTAAAAAAATTACCATTGAGTAGTTTTCCTTTTAAGAAATAAAGTATGACAGGAAGTCTGCAACATCACAAACTGAGTTATGTGATTGCCGACTAACACCGTCGATTTGTGAGTTGTTTCCTTGTTGGACCTCGACTTTTTGAACAGGAGTGTATCCTGTAATTTTGTTCCTTGCAGTTTAGAAAATAAAGACAAAGTCTGAGGAATGAAAAGAGTTTTTTCACTTACACAGTAACGAAACGCAGTCCTGCAGTCCAAAGCTGGAGAGCGTTGGAATCGGAGTGGAAAAACAGCATTTTCTTGCACTAAAACTGAGAAATTAGAGGACCAGAATCGAACACATTTTAACTGTGAAAGCGCATTAAAGAACTGACGTTCAAGATTAGAACTAGTACTCCGCATCAATGACATTTTTCCTTTGAATTTCTCACTTATTGATCACAAAAAACTGTTACAACTCCATACTACAGGACCCAGTTTATTCCGAATCTAAGAATAAAACTGAGCTGATTTATGTACAATATAGTGCTCTGTATCACGCTATACATTCTAACAGAACATTTTAAACATAAAATGTTACTGTAATTGAATAAAACATAAAGAAATCGAGAAAATTTAACCAACAACGCTTACCCAAAAAGACAGTTGTTACTGATCAACTCACCCTAAACCTCCACCTCCAATATTTTTTCTCATCGCTGGATGGTATTTCAGCCTCCGGTAAATTATTTTCTGCAGAGTTATTATTTTCGCCATCTAAAATTCATCTCTCTCGCTAATTTTTTTCTCTCTCTACTGACTGTTCCTCTCTATCTGCCATTTTTCCTCTCCTGTCCTCTCCTCTCACCCTCTCTCTCTCTCCAGTCTTTCTCTCTCTCTGGAAAAAGTTTTTACTTTTTATACAAACGGCCTTTCGTAGATGCGAATTTCGAACGAAATCTAGGATGTTAGCAGGAAGTTCGGTAGCGTGCGCCGGTAGTCATCGAGAATCGCCAGTCAACAGTGCGTCAAGAGCGTGTTCTGTGACTCAGGCTCAAGTCGGGGAATTAAAATCGGTCTTATTATTAGTGTCAGCGGTCTTGTCAACCTGAAACGGGTGTTACCTGACACCGGAAATATACCGCCGCAGTCACCTGATCTGCGGGCGAGCCAGAGATATTACCTTTTTATTTGTCCTGCTTTCTTGTTTGGCAGTTTACCCTGGGCGAACAATATAATTGATATAATTTAGCTAGCCGGTTTGGCTACCCTATTAGCAAATTCCAAATATATATCCAGCAGATGTTGCACCGCGGAGCAAGCTGATGCACGTCCACTCTCGATGACAGCCTGTGGGACAACGTAGGACGAGATAAGCGTCACACCGGGCGAGCCGGGGATCATACCTGATTGCCTGGCGAGCCGAGGATAGTACCTTTATTAATCCTGTTTCCTTGTTTGACAGTTTACTCCGGGCGGACTGGGGAGGCTGAAACTGTTGGTGGGGTAACCGTCCGGCTACCGTCAATTCAAAGGTCATTCAATTTTCCCGCTAAATAAGCCAATTTCCCGTAGATTTGTCTCCACATTATCTCAGTAAAGTCAAAATCAGTTCAAAATTACGTTGGCAAGTCCCTAAATTTCGGGAAAAGTTTAATAAAAACGAAATTTAAGGTGATTGAATTTCACCGTTAAAATTTCGTTTTTTTGAACTTTTCCCCAAATTTAGGAACTTGCCAATGTAATGTTGAACTGATTTTGACCTTACTGAGATAGTGTGGAGGCAAATCTAGGGGAAATTGGCTTATTTCGCGGAAAAATTGAATGACCTTTGAATAGGCGTATTTGGGGGTCCTAACCCCCCCCCCCTTAAAATTAGTTCAAAGTGATTTCTGTAATTTTTACTTAAAAGCGAACACAATTTGGTAAATTTTCCCGTTTGATTTTTTTCTTTACGATAATTTGAACCGGAGTTATGAATTTTTGAAAATAGGTTAAATTTGACCTTTGACCTATCATAACTCGGTCAAAAATTAAGATATTGATCTGCGGTTTGCGCCAAAATTTTTAGTTTTTTGTTACCATTTGAAAAAAAAAAGTCAGGGGCCCCCGCTTTCCCGGAGGGGGGCCACAATTTTGACACCCCCCCCCCCCCNGGGGGGGGGGGGGGGGGGGGGGGGGGGGGGGGGGGGGGGGGGGGGGGGGGGGGGGGGGGGGGGGGGGGGGGGGGGCTGGACTTTTGGAACATCCTGTATTTGGTGGTTTCTCGCAGTTGTTGACTATACTGTCTTGGCGGGAAATTCTAGGATAATTTTGGAATCGTGGACTTGCAACCCTGATTTCAAATTGCGTAAGTGAGGTTATGTTTATGCATTTTCGCGCCCTTCTACAAGTTTCGCCTAAAATGGCACAACGGAGTATAACGTAAGTAATTTATTAATTTCTTATCATTTAATAAGATAAGTTTAACTCTAATTTATAACGACCTCACCACTACGTTCCTACTGAATTGTCTATTTTTTCGGTGGCACATCAATTCTCCTTCATTGTTCTGGTCTCCTCCATCACCTAGGGACTGCACCTCTCCGAAAATTGTTTCATCACTAATATCATTTCCTCATCACACCAAATGACGGATTTACTGGAGACAGTTTGTCTTCTCTTTTCATCAGCATTACCATTCGTCATTCACCCAAACTTTTCCATAAGGAAGGAAGCCCCTATTAGGTAACATCTCTGTTGCGCCTTCACCGTGCCAATCCAGTTCTTGGCCAATTCTTATGCTCTATGCAGCATATTGCAAGGCTAAAGGGATGCAGTGAATACGTACCCCTGAAGGACTGGCCCATCAGGTAGCGCATGCTGGTCCAATAGGAGATGGATCTGGAGACTGAGCCACTGCTCAACTGCTGCAGCCTGATCTTTGAAATTTTTTTGTTTGACGAGTGGAAGTGGATGACATAGGTTAAATGGTGAAGGGAGATTGGTCGCCTATGTCTTATCGTTGCTTTGTAGGGTGAAATGGATGACATACTGTCGGATACTCAAGAGGTGCCTTTAGTTCGTTGTCCATTCCAAACGACAAAGTAACGATTAGACATAGCCGACCAATCACGCTTCGCCATTTAACCTATGTCATCCATTTCCATCCGACAGACAAAAAATTTCAACAGTCAGGCTCCTGCCAAGTAATGGGTTTGAGAGACTCTCCCTTATGTCCTGGTTTGCTCACATGTAATGGGTGAAGCCCTGAGAGAATGGAGAGACATTCTCAAATCTTTTTTCCAACTCCTGCTTCTACTGTGTTTTAGTGGCAGGAGAGTGTAAGCTTTGAAGGATAACATGTAAAAACTAGGGGGAAGAATGGGAAACAAAACACCGAGACGTTTCGGCTCGGAACTTAGCCATTTTCAGTCGGAGAAATAAGTAAAAAATAAACAAATTCGGAGGAAAAAAAACTGAAACCTACGAAATAGTGGTGGAGATTTGAAAAGAACAACCCGAAGAAGGATTTGGGTATTTCAAGGATTTGTTGTTTAAATTCCAGCCACCATCTTGTAGGTTTCAGGGGTTTTTCTTTCGAATTTTTTTCTTTTGCCTATTTCTTCGACTGTCAAAGGCTCAGTTCTGAGCCGAAGCTGAAGTCGAAATTAATCTACCACTGGATCCTATCCCAATTGATTCTATTAGCGGCAACATCATCATAGGGATTCTCCATTATATCAAATCGGATCCAAACATTAACATTAGCATAACCTCTTTCAATGCTACCAATGCAAAAAAAACATACATATATATCTTCTCTTTGACATGCCACTAATAGTGTCTATAGGGACTGTGAAACAATCAGAGTTAAAAATTGCCACTGGACCTGTTCCTCACAAGCAGTTTGGCTAGTGCTTCATGAATATGCAGAGCAAAAACCCAACAAACCCTCTTAATTACAGAATTTGGCATTCCTTCTCCATGCAAAGTTGAAGCTCAGCTTATAGTTTTTTATCTTTTGTCTGAATTCATATCTCTTTCTAAACTTTAAAATTTCTCTGAGATAAATGCACTCAGCACAAATAGAAATACCCACGAAGTAATCAAGTTTCATGAAAATAGACACGAGATATTAAGTTTTTCATTCTTTGTAGAAAACTCACACTGGAGCCCAACTTGATACACCAACAGGCTACCAAGATTGACAGCTCTTATTCTGGAAGTTAGAATTCTTTAAAGATGCCAATTCAAAAGTATTTCATCATGTACTCTTTTTTTCCATGTTTCACAGGTCTTTCTTTACGAAAAGCCCTGTGGCCTCTAAAAAACCAGTTGTAGCATCTTTTGGAAGTGATTCTCCCAAAAAATCAAATGGAACTGCCATAGAGGACTCGCCAATAAAAGCTACCACCAAAAGAAAGAGGGTTGCCGCAATTGAAAGTGACAGCGAAGATGAGGCAAAGCCTGGACCCTCCTCAAAAAGGTATTTTTTTTCTTATCTCATTCATTATTTGAGACATTTTTTTAAAAATTCCAGCTTGAAAGGTACTCCGAGTTTAAAAATTCTCTTGATCCTACCACACTTTATATTCAAAATTCCACATGTTGACATTTTCGTCTGGAAATTCTACAACCAGTCCAAGCAACTACCAAGGTTCGGTTAGCGAGGCGCGTTGAGTAGATCATACAATTGCAAGTTAAACTTTCTTAATATGTAGTCGATTAGACAATGCATTGTTGATCAGCATTGATTGTCAATGATAGTAATGCACTGCATTTGTCGATCACCTGCAATGCTACTAAATTTTCATATCCATGCTATGAAATGCTTATGTTTCATTTTTAATAAGCGCACAATATCTTTCATCTGTAAATCTTGCTTTTCACAGCTCTCCTGTCAGTAAGAAGGTAGCTCAAGATAAGAAGGAAGAGTCTCCAGAACCGTCTTCTTCAAAATCAGTGAAAAATGTCACAGACAAGTCTCCCAGAAAATCATCTCCTGCTTCTACGCCGGCTGAGACACAGGAGAAAACCTCAAAATCGCCACTTTCAACTTATGAACGAAAAACAGGTGAGTAATTCAGAATATTCTCTTTTTCCAAGGAACAAAAAAGAATTGTGCAAATTTTAATGTCATCATCGTAATTAGGCGTCTTTTTTTTAATTGTTTTTACTGTAAACCTTCAGAAATGTTTCATGCAAGTTGATTTTTTATTTTTTGTTCTACAGCAAATGTTAAAAAGTACAAAGGACCTGGTCTCCTGCCTGGAATTGCGAAAGTTTTGGAAGAAGCGAGGAAGAAAGATGAAGCTTTATCAAAAACCTTTGATGCGTTGAAAAACTCACCAGCCACTGAGGACGCTTCTAGTAGTGCAGCACAAGATGCTCTGATGAGTGATGTGAAAGAGAAAACTAATATTCCAAAAGATAATGATAAAACTGTTAAAGCAGAGGAGGAAGTTTCAGATGAAGAAAATGTTTCAAAAGTCGATAGTAAGTCCGAAAATTTAAGATACTTTATCGTTGTAACATTAGTCACAATTATCATGTCTGATAAGTTGTTTTTCTGGCAATCGGGAACCAAAACCTATTATTGTACGATCATATCTGGCTTCAGAAAAGTTCTGTATGAGGCACTTTTCACAATTCGGTATTTATTAAAAGGACCTTTCAGGGTGTATACAAGTCCGGAAATAGTACTGATTTTTTAAGGGCGGTCCGAAAGTACTGGAAATGTGTGGAAATTCCGTTAGAAGGTCCGGAATTTTTCATTTTTGTGGCAATATGAGAGAGAAATTCAAAATTTTGAAATTTTTCGTCAAATGGAGGTACTGAAAAAGTACTGAATTTTTCCGTTGAGGAGGTACTGAATTTCTAGGGAATGTACTGAAATAGCACTGTAAAAGTACTGATTTTTGACCAGCCTGTTTTAGTAGACACCCTGCCTTTGGAAACTTTTGCTGAAGTTTCAATGAGAATTCTTCCATGAGTAATATTGTTCAAAAATCTCGAGGAGTAATTTTATGCTATAAATATCTATGTTTTGCTTTGGCAAAAATTTTAATTTTTTCTACATCATTAACAAGCATAATTTTGATGTTTTCTTCCACAGGAAACACTGAAACACCAGGAATCTTTCCAAGATTTCTTTTTGAGTGTGGTTTTCTCATAAAGTAAATAAATAACAAGATAAAAACACTTAAAATGCAGCCTCAAAACTTTTAAATAACAGGATACTTAAACAGTGCTGGGTTGACACTATTCAAAGGGAATTCAAATGGGGAAATTATAATGCAAGAAATCACAAAATAAATATTTTTGGAAACCTAAATCTTAATTCTTTGCCCTCAAAATGAGGGTTACTGGTTTGGCAACCCCTCTTTTACTGTAGTTGAAATTTTTTTTGAGAAAGTACCGCTGAATATTTTATTTCAACCTGACGCCTCACAGAATCTTGAACCTCCTTATAAAATTTCTCAATAAGTTAAAGTTAAAAAGGAACACAAGCTATAAACTTCTCTTAAATTGTTTATTATATTGAACTAAGTAATGTAAAAAAGTTAAGAAACTGCACAAGATGGTAAGTTAGTAATGATGGCAGTCGGATTTCTCCCAATCACAATGCCTATACTATCAGTGGCCCCTGAGCAAGTATCATAATATGTCAAGTCAAAAGTCAAATCTTGTTTAAATCAATTCTCACCAATTGTTCTGTGCGCATTCATTCACCAATCGATTGAGTGATAAATAATGATTTTTGAGAGTAAAGGCATGAGGAATCCATTTCTGATTGGCTCCTGTAATTAAGCCTCCACGGTGTCACAAACGGGAATAAAGATAACATTTTCACAGAATCTAAAGATGATAACCTGGAATGGACCGAGGAATTATGGGTACGTCAGAAAAAAAACAGAATGAGAAAGGTAACAGAGGAAAGGAATTCAGGTATAAGTTGATCAATGATGACGAAAAATGTTCTATCTGTATAATCGTATTCCGGCTTGTGATATCTGTAATCCGACTTGTCTTAACTCTCCTTATTAAGGGACTCTAGTCTGCTCTATCAATAGATTTCTTTTCCAGAAACATGGACTGAATATGAGAAAGAGCTCAATGAAAATTTTGAACTCATGCAAAAAGCACGCAAAGCGTTACATTCCTACAACAGGAAGAATGATATCGCCTGTGCCAAATTGATGGCAGGCTCATTGTCAGACAAAGATTACCAGCCAAATGATGCAGAAGAGGTTGCCATCTTAGATTATGTCACAGATAGGATTTTGGGGAAGAAGTGTAAGGCGGACATAGCCGCTATGGCATTCATTGAACCTCGGAATTCCTTAGATAGACTCCTCTGTGGTATGTCCCTAAGATGAAAATTTTATACAATCAACTCAACCATCTCAATGAATAACTGTCTCCTTTTTTCAACCAAGTTTAATGTATATATTTCTCCATTCTCATAGTTGCTTTGTAGGAAGCATTATCACAGGTGTGCAGAAAGTTCTTAGCCCTTTCGTTTTTTAAACTGTCCTTCTCATTTTGAAAATTCCTATTCCCCCCAAAGTTTAAATTCAATGACCTCTGATCTTGTCCTTTATTCAAAAATTGCCGGAATTGTGTGAGGAACATGTAGATTTAACGCTATTTTGAGCTGCCCTTTCCAATTTCCCACAGCTTTCCCAATATTTTTACCCGACCTCTATAGGATCATGATCACATGATTGAGAAGTTTCTGCACTCCTGCATTATCGATTTGTAATAAGCATCTTTTTCACTCCATGTAGGATAAAAGTACTAAGTTTAAATGATGCATTAGCCAACAATGTTATGTTTTAAAGTTACTGTGTATACTCTATTTCTCTTTGTATCAGCCCAGTATCATGGCTTTAATGTGTTAATACTATAGAATTTTTGTAACCATTCATATTATCGCTTAATGTGGTCTATAATGGCATATTTGTCTAGGTTAAAAAGTGTCATCTTGGTAAGTGTTAGTTACCTCCAGAAAGTATTCGCCAGCTCTATCCTCTAATAATATAGTAATAATTAAAGTTCTTCTCATTCCTCTTAAGTTTACAGTAGAATATTGACAGGACAAATTTTTTTATTCAAAATTTTATTTTAGGTAGAGAATCAAAATTTTCTCGGGAAATTTGAAAGAATGGATTATGCCAAATAAAAAAGATTTTATTTCTTTTGATCAGAAACAGCAGGTGATATATCAACGGCCAAAGTGGGATATCATGTCTCCTAATGGGGTGTTTTGAAAATTTCGCTCCTATTTTATTTTTTCTAAGAAAAGCAAGCCAATTTTATAGCTTGAAATTTATGCAAAATATTCTGCGTGCAGGGACAGAAAACGAAGGAAGGATTCCAGAAATTGTGTCTACTTGTTTCCCTCGGAAAAAATAAATTATGACAAGAAGTCTGCAACTTCTCAAACGAAGATACGTGGTTTCGCTTTTTAGCCATTGATATCCTTAATTATCACATTCTAACTGTGTTTTTCAAGTCAGTCCTATATGACTCTTTATTTTACCAATTTTGCAGAGTTATGAAAAAGTATCTAAAGCTCGAATCTCATCACCTCTTCAATTTTTTTTTAGGTATAGATGAAGCTGCATCTAAATTAAAAAGTCCTCAGAGCAGCAGCAAAAAAGGAGCATCAACGCCTAAGACTACATCTGCTAAAACATCAAAAACCAAAACTTCGTCCACAAAGAAGGTATCTAAAACAAAGGCGGAGAGTGCTAAAAGACGTAAGCCTGGAGAAACAATTGCTGACAAGCAGAAGCGGCTGAAGGAAGAAAAAGAGGAAAAGAAGGAAGAAGAAAAAGAGAATAAATCTGAAAAGGATGAGGATGACAAGGCTGGTAAAGAAGAGACAAAGAACAGCAAAACTCCCAAAAAAATGCATAGCTTTTTTGGTAAGTGTAACTTTTGCAATGCTTCTCATGATAAACCTTGAGAAATATGAATGACTTTTCAAAAATTTACTTTGCTGGAGAGAAAGTGCAGTTTTCTCAAATTTCATCATAAAAATTTTAATGAGTGTGTTTCCACATCCAAACTCTTTTCGACCCCTCCAATTTCACATGGAGTTTTTACAGACTTGCTTACGTAATACAGGTAAAGTTCATGATAAAGAATGTCCGCTCACATTATCATTTTCTTTAAAGGATTATTTTAATCTCGCCTTTAAAGCTTTCTATTAACATTAAAAATTTTAAATTTGTATTTTGAAACCGGGCTGATCACTGACCACGGCTCCAACGCCTGCGTATTAGAACTTCTTCCTTGTTTTTTCTTCAGTTCTCAATTTCCATCCTCTCCTCGAGTTTAACTCTTCAAGTAATTGGACCAATAAAAAAATTTGCTAAACATGATCAAATTTTTTAGTACGATCCAACATTCCAACAGAGGTGTAAATTCTTCTGAGCCACACAGTTTTGCCCAATTATGGAAATACCCCAAAAACTGAGGAGGCTCAGAAATTTCTTTCTTCTTTTTTTGGTTGATGATCTTTGTCTTTTGCGTAATCATTAAATTCTAGCACACATCTTTCCTTGAAATGCAATTCCAAAAGCTGATACCTATTTTACTTTTATGTGGAAATGCAGCATGTTCAAAAAATGTAACAATATTTTATGAAGCATGTTGTGTTAACTTTTTTCCAAAATGTGGAAGCCTTGAATAATTTGTACTCCTGCATTCCAAGATCATGTTTCATGATTGAACCATACAATGGAAATTGCTGGCATCCAGCCAGGCCTGATGCCAACAATTGACTTTTCTGTTATTGCAACTTGTCCACCCTATTTCAGCTCCCAAAGGAGGTGGCAAAGAATGTGAACAGAAAGACTCCTCAGCTGAAACTTCTCCACAAGGCAAAGGAGCCACCTTAGTATCAACCAAAATTCCTGGTGCTAATTACGATCCATCAAAGGAAAAATATCATCCAATCGATGACGCAACTTGGAAACAGAATGAAAAGTAAGAGAACCACAATTGAAGAGATTTCTACTCAACCAAAATATTAATACTAACTGTTACTTCAGTGCACATGGATGGCCAAAGTGGAAAGCCACATATCTCTGTTTGCAACATTGTAGACTTCTTGTCATACTTAATTTTTTCCTCAGAAATCTAGTCAGCACAATTTATTGAAAACTTTCTTAATTTTCCCTATTCTGCTAGCAGAATCTCCTGTATATATTTGAAGCCATGAAGTTGGTTTGTTTCTCTTCGGAAAAATAAAATAAAAGTCGAAATTTTGAAACACTGAGATAGAAATATTTGGTTTTGCTTTTTGGCCATTGATATTCAGTATTGAGGCACCATCATGAAAGTCATCATGAAAGTGTAACATTACAACAAAAATGTTAAAAAAAACAAGATAACAATTGATCATAATATTAACCAACAATAACATCACTTGGTGCGAATTGTCATCCTTAAAATCTGTTAACCGAAGAAATGGTTAAAAAACAAAAAGTCATCAGGTAACCATCCAAAAAAGACAATGTGCATACCATAACAATAAAAGAGTTTTCTATTTAAGTTAAAGGAGTCCAAAAAGTTCAAGAAATTCAGAATGTTTCCCTTCTTTAACTACTAAAAACATTTCCTTATTTTTTCAAATTTTTCAATGTGATAACTTATCTATTCTCTTCTTTTATCGTAAACCACTATCTCTCTTTTTTCATGCTGAGTTCCAAAAATACTTCTTGAACCCTCAAAAGGGTCTAAGTCAAACATCAGAAGAATTCGAACTATTTTTGAGAGCTACTTACATCCAATTTTTCCCTGCAAATTTCACTTTTTACTCTCTCGCTCCCCTAGTTGTACCCATGTGAAGTTCTAGTTCAAGGTTTAGGAAACAAAGGTTATAGTTAAATTTTGTTGCAGATCCATGTATCCTTATGTCCCATGGACATCAGTCTCTTACATCCGAGTCTCATCCACCGAACACTCATAATATTTTTCTGCTTTCTTTACTTCACAGAGTTCCTTATATGGCCCTTGCTTGTACATTAACTGCTATCGAAGGAGTCTCTGCAAGACTGAAAATGATCAGTATACTAGCCAACTATTTCCGATCTGTGATTGTCCTCTCTCCAGATGACCTTTTGCCTAGTGTTTACATGTGTTTGAATCAACTCGGGCCAGCTTATGCTGGCATCGAACTTGGAGTTGCGGAAAGTTATTTAATGAAGGTAAAAATTTATCTAAAACTGATTAGTTAAAACAATGCCATTTCAGTGGCAGACATCAAATCTAGAATTAATTAAAGAAACCTCTGGCATCCCATGAAGAAGTCCTCTAAAATCAATGAAAAGAAAAAATGAGAATCATTTTTCTGGTCATTTAAAAATTTTCTAGTTCACATCGGGGAGATTTTTAGTGCTGAGTCCATGAATGACCACTGTTTTTCTGGATTGTTTGGTTTTCCTAGAGAAATCACAATTTCCCCCCAAAACTCCAGGAACTTCTCATTTTCCAGGAAATTGATGCATAATAATGAAAAACTCCCTCTGACAGAGAAGTTTTTCTGCGCAAATGCAAAGCTTATTCAATTATTTTGCCTCACAATGTATGTGAAATGTTTTAATCAGATGTCTCCGTCTATCAGGCTATCTCTGGGCTATCTCCGTCTCTGCGACTGAAGCCAAAAATCCCCTTGGTTTTTCGTATTTTTGAGTTTTCCAAAAATCAGGTAATTTTCGGATCTGATTAAATGTCTCTCTTTGAAAGTTTATTTAATGAAATTGGTAGATGCTGAAAACAGCTGAACTGGCTTTAGCAACAAGAATTAAGTGGTAACAGCCTCAGTAGATACCAGGGAAAAAAGTTTCATCATCTTTTTTGATGCAAAGCAACAAGAATTCAGTGGTAACAGCCCCTGTAGATACCAGGGAAAAACGTTTCATAATCTTTTTTAATTCAGAACACTTATCCAAGTTCTACATGACAGTAAATGGACGATGTAAGGCCTTTTATTTTCACTTTTAGCTAAATTATTTACCAAATGTTGCCCCTTTTCATATGTAATTTTTTTCTTTACAGGCTATAGCGCAGTGCACAGGGCGGTCAGTACCTCAGATCAAATCTGACGCAGAGAAATTTGGTGATTTAGGAATCGTCGCTGAACAGAGTCGAAGTAATCAGAGGATGATGTTTCAACCTGCACCTTTAACCGTGAGAGGTGTTTTTGAGAAGAGGAAGGATATTGCTTTAATGACTGGACATGCTGTGAGTATCTACTTAGTTACCACCGATCAACTACTGTCTCTTTCACTGCCCAAAAGCTGAATTTTGTCAGCTCATGGTTGGTGGCAAATTGAGGAAACATGACCTAAAAAAAACATGATTTACCTAAGTCAAAGAAGTTATGACACAAGAGTAGATGAAAAATGGCTCTACTGTAGGAATAGATTTATTTGTAATACGTGCTTGTAATTTGTTTTCTCTCTGCTCTTTATTTTTCAACATTAACTAACAATATGATTTTTTGAACAAATTCCTCAGAATTGAAGTTTTGTGTTAGCAAGGTTATCTTATGTATCCTAATTTACTTTTGCAGACAATGACAAAGAAAATAGATAAAATTCAAAGTATGTTCGTAGCCTGTCGACACACAGAAGCCAGATTTTTAATACGATCATTTGCTGGGAAACTGAGGATTGGCCTAGCTGAACAATCAGTGCTTCAGGTTTGTATCTCTTGCTAATACTGAGGATTCAAAAATTTCATTGTTACCGTTTCCGAGAAAGTCTTTGAAATCATCTAGTGTAAAAATTAATTCTAAGAACAGTTTCGAGGAGCATTCAACTATTTTTGGTCTGCTCAACTCCTTACATCATGCCAGGGAGCGAGCAGACCTATGAGAATCAATTATGACCTAATCAGTATTTTCTTTTTCAAACTTCAAGCCAAGTTTGAAATGGCATCAACATAACCGTATGTTTTGTCGATTTTTGGTTGTCTGCAAACTGAAGTCATATGTGTAAAAAAAACAGTTGGTATTTTTATCCAAAAAATAATTATCAGTATTACATAAATATTCTCACATATTTATCTTAACTTCATGAATAATTCAGAATCTTGTATTAATATTATTTACTACACTAAGCAAAGAAGGTAAAAATGTCATTACTGTTAAAATAACTATAAATATTATCGCTTCTACTTGATCTGGTTCTGATGTGCCTTACTTACCGTGGGAAACATCAGGCCTTCTCTCAACATTGTTAGAATGATTTTGAACTTTTTGGTCTTTTCTCGAGTGTTCCGTTATTTTTTCAAATTATTGAGCCCAAAGAATTTTGTAGATTTTCCTGAAAATCAGGAGAATTTGAAATGACGAATAACCATTTACTAAAAACCGGCGCTCCGCTTCGCTTTGTGCCGGTTTTTGGGGGGGCTTTGCCCCTCCCCAAGCCCCCCCAGGACGCGTGCTTTGCGCGTTTTTTTTAGTTTGAGTGTCCGGCCTCAGTTGTTCTGTCTCTTAAGTGTCCCGCGCGTCCACCGTGGGAAGAGTGTATTTTCCAAAGGGAGGGGCAGGGGTGGGGAGTTATCAACCTTTGGAGGTTGGATTTACGTTGGAGGCATTGATTATTTGAATAAGGACTTCATGTCGCCAGATTGCAATAACAATCCTCATGTAATGTCTGATATGAAAAAATGTCAACAAACGCTGTGGCAAGCTTGAATGACGATGGATGAATCTCCATAACCCACTGTGCAACAACATTGCCGTCTTGTTCACCAATTATCAGTCTGTAACCCACTGTGCGACAATATAGCCATTGTGTCCACCAATTATCAGTTCATCAGTTCATGACCCATTGTACGACAACATTGCTGTCTTATCCACCAATTTTCAGTTCGTGACCCACTGTGCGACAACATTTCTGTCTTGTCCACCAATTTTCAGTTCGTGACCCACTGTGCGACAATATTGCCGTCTTGTCCACCAATTTTCAGGTCGTGACCCACTGTGCGGCTGCCCTCCTCTTTTGCCGCACACCCCCCCGCCTAAAACTTTCAAAGCTCGCCATTTTTAAACGGCTCGACCGATTTCGCTCAAATTCAATACCAGCCCAGAACTAAGTAAGATCTTCCTTCTGTATAAATTTTGGGGGGAAAGCTTTTAATTTACGCGAGTTATTGCGCCCACAAAATTGAACCTCCCTCCACTTCTCGCCCCCACCATTCGAAATGTAATTCTTCGATCTCCGTTTTTTTTTCGCAGAATGTTAGTCCTGTTCCTCTACTTTACATCGCAAAAAGTTTCACCTGGAAATTTTTTAAAATGAGGGAAATATAACCAAGCAAAAATCGGAAAAACCACGATGAGTCGGAAATACATACATATACATATATATATATATATATATATATATATATATATATATATATATATATATATACAAACATGAATTCAAACGGCATGCATATTGGTAATCTACGACCCATGATCGATGCTCATTACATGGTCTTTGGTCCAGGTCTGACATCAGGGGAGAACTCAATAGTGTATTTCCTTTGGAAAATACACTAATATTTCCTTTGGAAAATACACTAAAAGTGTATGAATATCTAAAAATGTTCATCTATTGCGGATGAGGAAGAGAGTATTCTTCGCCCGGGCAATTTACGAAGATGGTTCTAGAATTTTATGCGTGATACGGAAGGCAGCATGCCTTGCATTGACTGTAAAGTTCCTTCCTTTGAAGTGCAAATACAAACAAATAATTGTTTTGAAATTTTCAGGCATTAGCGTCGGCGTGCACAAACACACCTCCAAATCAAGAATATCCGCCAGAAAAAATATCCGTTGCCCAGAAATTATCACCTGAAGCATTCAAAGAACTTGTCGAAGAAGAGGCTCAAGTCCTCAAAACTACATACTGGTATGTTACCCATTCCTTATTTGTAAAAACATCACTGAAAAATGAAGGAAAAGAAGCTTTTTGGGATAGACCAGACTTTTACGATGCTACAGCCAAAGAATACCAGGAAAACAGGGAAATTTCAGGGAATTTTGAAAAGTCAAGGAAAATGACATAGTAGAGAGAAATTGTGAGGCCACTTTCATTTGCGTTCTAAGATGAGTTTGATGTTTGGAAGAACAAATTTTGCCTGAAAACTAGTTCAAATTTTGTCTTTTTAACCACCTGGCAAATCTTCAATTGTCAGGAAATTTTATCAAAATGTGTTAGAGAAATCAAGGGAATTCATTTTCTAAATTCCGTTGCAACCCTGAATGTTGAGGCAGGGGTGTAGAAACCTCTTGACCATGCCAGAATGGCTATTTTGCATGGTTGTACGAAGGAATGAGAAGGTCATGAAAAACAGTTCCATCGCGTCTCAATTTTTTAACTTCGTATTTACATAATTTAGGAGGTGTTGTCAACTTACCGTAGTTTGTGTTTTTGTTAATTGATATTCTTTCTCTTTTTCCAGTGAGTGTCCAAATTATGACATGATAATTCCTGTTATTCTCAAACACGGTATCAAAGCTCTACCGGAACACTGCAAATTAACCCCTGGAATTCCGCTGAAACCTATGTTGGCTCAACCTACCAAAGGTGCTAGTGAAGTACTCACCCGCTTTGAAGGACTCAAGTTCACATGTGAATACAAGTATGATGGAGAAAGAGCCCAGGTATTCTTTCGCTCGTCAAGGCAAAGTTTTTTTTTTTCTTTTTTTCATAGTATAACATTTTTAGTTACGAGTGACAGTATAATGTGTAACTTTAAACACTTACAGACAACGTTATGCTCATTTCCTGAGATAGAAAATCGAAGTAAAAATCAATCATTTCAGGTTCTTTGAGGGAACAAAAAGTAAATATAGTTAAAAATCATTTCATATTGTTTATCTGTTGCTGTCAACATTACAAAAATTGCAACCAAGTGCATAAATCTAAATTGTAATTTTTAGTAGCATTCATTTGAATATTTTAACATTGATCTCTTAAGCTCCCTTGAGAGGATAGGATCTAGGAACATTTGAATCGCAATCTCATGATTGAAGATCTACTGTGTGCACATGCGTCATGCAGTGGCACATATTCTAGTCTTAAGCGTAGAATAGCTATTCATCAAAATCTATCTGATTTCAGATTCACTTACAAGAAGATGGCAAAATTAGTATTTACAGTCGGAATCAAGAAAACAACACATCAAAATATCCAGACATCATATCAAGGCTGAAGGCAGCCTTGGGTCCTGAAGTCAAATCGTGTGTCCTAGACACAGAGTCGGTAGCATGGGATAGAGAAAATAAGAAAATTATGCCTTTCCAAGTACTCAGTACACGTAAAAAGAAGGTATGACTCGTTATTCATTTTTTACAATTTCTTTTAAGTTATTTTCTATCGAAATTTCTATCACTGAAGTTAGCTTCCCTCTGAAAAAATAAAAAACAGAACTTTTGCAACATTGCAATTGAGGTACATGTTTCTAAGTTTAGTCATCAATTTTTGAATACCTGGATAATCTTTGAAATGCCTAAGAATATAAACAGTCAGAGGCTCATCTGAAAATAGACATGTTTGCTTTTGATGACCCATAGTCCGTCATGTATGACCCCTTGAAGCTCGTGTATTTTGATTTTGTTCCTCTAAATTTCCTCCCTAATTTTTGATTTTTTTCAGGATGCTAATGAGGCTGATATCAAAGTTCAAGTTTGTGTATTCATGTTTGATTTGCTGTATTTAAATGGGAAGCCTCTCATTCGAGAACCGTTCATCGAAAGGAGACGATTATTAAGGGAAAATTTTAAAGAGGTCGAAGAGCAGTTTCTTTTCGCAAAGTCATTAGACACTAATGTATTAGAAGAAATGCAAGAATTCCTTGAGGAGTCTGTCAAAGGTAGTCTCTTCATTTGTTTTTCGAATCTTACTGAGAAATTCAGGGGCCAATTTTGCCACCTTGATCAATATGTAGAGGCCAAAATAGTTTTTTTTTAAATAATTTATGATGAGAACTGGATGTTTTTTGGCATCTTAGAATCCGGCTTTTTTTTAACTGATTACACATTTTTATAACTTTCCTTTACCCAATGAGCTTGTTCAGCAATTCGTAATTCTTGCATTTTTGGAAACTAGAGAGTGCACAGAGTTCACAGGAATTTTCCCCGATTTTTTTGAGCAATATTAACCCACGAAATACGAGTCCAAAAGTCCGTATTTTGGGCTCCCATTTAAACGCGCGCCGCTTGGCCCATCTCAAAATGGCGCCCATTTTCTCCGTCCGGCGGTGGCCACACTTTTGACCCGGCGTGCCGGCGAGGTACCTCTGCATGCCTCTGCCGTGTGTGGGTCGTATAAACAAACGAAGATTGATAACACAAATGATCCAAACAACTCGAAATCTCTTAATTTTAATTAATTTAAACCCATTTTCGACTTCAACCAAGCATTTGGCAATAATATTCATCGTATTTTACAGCCAGGAGCCACGGCCTATCGGCTCATTTTAAGGTGCATTCTGAAAATCAGTCTTACAAGTCCAGTGTCCAAACCCAGACTTTCTTCTTTTACTTTTTTTGACCATTCTCTTTTCATTTTCGCCTCAAATCAAATGTTTTGCAGTTTCTTTGTCTTTAGTATGTGGTCCTGAATTCATTCAAGAGTTAAAAGTTCACCATTCATTTAGTATTATAGCCTTTTAACCTCTCAAGCTTTACCGATATGATCTCATGCAGTTCGAGGTTTCTTCGGCCCAAACCAAGTGATTACACATCTGATGTGTGTCTTATGGCTCTTCAAATTCGCAGTTTAGAACTAAATCAGAGACTACAGTTACTTAATCCAGTTCTGCTCTCTTGCTCAATGTTTGTCATAAGTGTTTGTTCGTGTCTGTTCTTTATAAGTGACCACTGTAGTGCATATACACAGTTATGCTATCGGTACAGGTATTATTTCTTGTTTTCTACAGTCAGGACTTTCTCTTAAGCGCAATAATTTACCAAAGAAATTCACCTAGTTGCGTAAATAATTTGGTGTATAGATATTCTGTTAATGTCTCCTTGCGGTGATTCAAAGTTTCTGAGATCTATCACAAGTGGATTCTGCATTTAGACGGTCACTCTTGTCTGTTAAAATTACTGCTCTAGAAGCTTCAAATTTATACTTTGATCTCTGATTCATCACTAAATGACACTCATGCGGTGTCATTTATCTTTAATCAGTTCAAAGCTATTTCGACAATGAATCATCAAAGGTCCGATCGAAGAAGGAATTTTCTGGTGAGTGCTGCGACTGAACCGACATCACAACTCTACTTTCAAAAGCATCAACTTATAAAAATTTATCGAAGTGGTAATGGTAAGAGGAAATCATAGTAGTGCTCGCTTCTTTCATGAGCAAATTGTGCGCTCAAAATTTCAAAATCTACTCACCTGCATGTATATTTGAAGAGGAATACGACATGATATGTAGCAGGCTACACTTCATCTATGAATAATACGTAAATTTGTCTTGAGAGCATTCTTAGGAAACTTCCACAATTTTTAGTCTTGTTCCTGAGAGAAAATTTGGAGACGACTCTGCTGGTATTCCCAGGGTTTTTTCAGAAATTTTGTACTTCATAGGTATCATCAAATACTTAAGTATCAACAGATATTGTACAAGACAGAAAATTTATTTGAGGATTCCTGCTAGTATGTTGTGTTTCCTGCAGAAACAAGGATCATCATATTTCATGGAATGAAGTAATCAAAAACTACTTACTTACCTACAGCTTGGTCAGTTTCATGTCTTCCTAGAGTGAAGAAAATATTTTTTTTTTCTCTCTATTTAAGAATTCAGGGTGAATCAAACCTGTCCAACAAACATTTTAATAAAATCCCTTTGTTCAAAAACACCTAAGAATCATTTCAATGGTAAAGTTGCCAACGATTCTTGTTAAAAGTCCGAAAGTCGGCTGGTTTACTGAATTTCTCAGGTACAGATGGATGGAAGGATTTTGAAAAGACATAGAATTACATCCTCCCATAAGTATAAGTCAGGAACATGGTTAAGGTTATCTGGGGATGACATTTGTAACATTCGTTGCATGATTTTATAATCGAAGAGAAACAGAAAGTCTGAAACTTTGTAAATCTACGTTAGTGGTTTTCTAGTTAGGCTATGACATTGATATGCTCGTTTTGTTATCAATTAATCTCCACAAAGGTAAGCATACTTACAAAAACTGTACCACAAGAGATGCGAATGTAACTTGTGATACCTAAGTGACTTTACAAATCTTACCTGTTAAACTACCAGCTGCCCGATTATTGAAACTATGTCAGCCCGACATGAAAAGACATAGCCCTATCATATCCATGCAATATATTCGAATTTGATGTCTTGTCAGGTTGCTCTAAGCCTTCAATAATCGGCCTGCTGATTAGTTGCAAAATATTTTCACTTCCAGACGAATGATCATGTCTTGGTTGATGCTTTCGATAGTAGAGTTGTGATGTCGGTTCAGTCGCAGCACTCACCAGAAAATTCCTTCTTCGATCGGACCTTTGATGATTCATTGTCGAAATAGCTTTGAACTGATTAAAGATAAATGACACCGCATGAGTGTCATTTAGTGATGAATCAGAGATCAAAGTATAAATTTGAAGCTTCTAGAGCAGTAATTTTAACAGACAAGAGTGACCGTCTAAATGCAGAATCCACTTGTGATAGATCTCAGAAACTTTGAATCACCGCAAGGAGACATTAACAGAATATCTATACACCAAATTATTTACGCAACTAGGTGAATTTCTTTGGTAAACTATTGCGCTTAAGAGAAAGTCCTGACTGTAGAAAACAAGAAATAATACCTGTACCGATAGCATAACTGTGTATATGCACTACAGTGGTCACTTATAAAGAACAGACACGAACAAACACTTATGACAAACATTGAGCAAGAGAGCAGAACTGGATTAAGTAACTGTAGTCTCTGATTTAGTTCTAAACTGCGAATTTGAAGAGCCATAAGACACACATCAGATGTGTAATCACTTGGTTTGGGCCGAAGAAACCTCGAACTGCATGAGATCATATCGGTAAAGCTTGAGAGGTTAAAAGGCTATAATACTAAATGAATGGTGAACTTTTAACTCTTGAATGAATTCAGGACCACATACTAAAGACAAAGAAACTGCAAAACATTTGATTTGAGGCGAAAATGAAAAGAGAATGGTCAAAAAAAGTAAAAGAAGAAAGTCTGGGTTTGGACACTGGACTTGTAAGACTGATTTTCAGAATGCACCTTAAAATGAGCCGATAGGCCGTGGCTCCTGGCTGTAAAATACGATGAATATTATTGCCAAATGCTTGGTTGAAGTCGAAAATGGGTTTAAATTAATTAAAATTAAGAGATTTCGAGTTGTTTGGATCATTTGTGTTATCAATCTTCGTTTGTTTATACGACCCACACACGGCAGAGGCATGCAGAGGTACCTCGCCGGCACGCCGGGTCAAAAGTGTGGCCACCGCCGGACGGAGAAAATGGGCGCCATTTTGAGATGGGCCAAGCGGCGCGCGTTTAAATGGGAGCCCAAAATACGGACTTTTGGACTCGTATTTCGTGGGTTAATATTGCTCAAAAAAATCGGGGAAAATTCCTGTGAACTCTGTGCACTCTCTAGTTTCCAAAAATGCAAGAATTACGAATTGCTGAACAAGCTCATTCATTCTTTTTTGAAGGGATCCTGATAATATTGTTATCAATCATATAAGTTTGTCAGAGTTCCAGCGTTTTCATAACTTGCCAAACGCAAATATTTAGGCGCCAAGTTTTACCATGAGGCTTATCCAATGCTTGTGCGATGATATGCAGTATGGCAACCTCAATCTCGGAATTTCGGCTCAGCTGTTGCTCCTTGCTACTTTTTGAACAACACAGGGTGGGGAAGGAACACTGCTTGACTGAGAAGCCTGCCAAAACTTTTAAAGTGTGTGATTTGATTCACGTAGACTCTGGTTTTTCTTGTGAGCAGGGTATTCAAATTTTTTGCAACCACTGCAAAATAAATACGTTAATATCTGGGTTAGGAGCTAATGTTGGTTACTTGCGTAAATTAGGTTCCAAATGAAATTTTGAAGAGGAAACATGTATAAGAATGTTTGACTTCATACCTTGTCTAGTGCTTCATCGACCAAACCTGCTCTTCTGAAACAGATTTCCAGAAACCAAGGTCCCTTTTTTATGAGTCGTCACATTGTTGATTGTGGGTTTACTTCTTTATCTTCAACATATCTTCATATCTTATGTAAACTTCTTTCAAACTTTACCTCTAACCCTCATTTTGTATTGTTTTCTGTTCCAGGTAACTGTGAAGGATTAATGGTGAAAACATTAGAAGAAGAGGCAACATATGAAATAGCTAAACGATCAAGAAACTGGTTAAAACTCAAAAAAGATTACCTTGACGGCTGCGGTGATACTTTAGATGTAGTCGTGATCGGTGGATATCTTGGCCGCGGCAAACGGACTGGAGTCTATGGAGGCTTCTTGCTTGCTTGCTACGATGCTGACAACGAAGAATATCAGAGCATATGTAAAATTGGCACCGGTTTCTCGGATGAAATGTTGGTGCAACACTCAGAGTTCCTAAAGAATCACAAGATCCATGAGCCGAAATCCTATTACCGCTATGATTCGTCATTGGAGCCGGATCATTGGTTTGATGCTGTCCAAGTATGGGAAATCAAGTGTGCAGATCTCTCATTATCTCCCATTCATCGAGCAGCAATTGGAATTGTAAGTAACTGTCTGATAAAGAATGGGAAGGGAAGAAAAACTTGTATCAATGTGTTCTTTTTGTTTGGTATCCTAAAATTTTTCAGGAGCGAAGAAAAACTGAGTCAAAGATCTACAAATTCTGGAAAAGTTTAAAATTTTAAAATTTTCGAGAAACCAAATAAATCTAAGTAAGAAATCTGGACAGATTATTTTTCTGTAAGACAATCAATTACCCTAAATCTTAAATAAATGCAGCTCTTGTCAGAATTGATCCGTAATGGAATTTTTTTATTATTTAAGCTCTTGGTCAAAAAAGTTCATTTCCAAAAGACCTCTTCCTTAAAGTTTTCTTACAATAAATTTTTATGAGTAATCATGAATCCCCCCCTCTTCCCCTCAAATAGGGGATGAATAGATTTCATACATAAATAACCTGGAAGGTCAGGGAGTTTCAAATCCAGGTGTCGGAGAGTGACGTTTCCGTGAATCTGAGATTGTCGGCAACGTCCTTCTCCGCCTTGCTATCGCGGCCCGAGCGCGCATGCGTTTGCGTCTGCGCACTCGCGGAGGCCGGCAGCCAGCGAAGCTGGTCTCGCGCTGGCGGAGCAGGAGCAGTCAGTCGGAGAAATGATCTAGCTGTGGCTCATGCCTGCGATCTTCCTTCACTCAATTTTCACAGCCAAAACCCTACCTCTCTCTTTGGTTTGTCATTGTCATCCGAATTTTAGCGAGTTGCTCTCTTCTGCCCTTGTTGGCTGCTTTCTTTCCTGATCAGGAGCTACGCATTCCGACGTTACGCTATTTGCGGCAACGAAACGGAATCGCGGCAGCTCTAGACAGGGGGCCCAGCCAACACTCCCGTAGAGCCCTGGTGATCCCCACGAGGGGGATCCCCACATGGTGGAGGCGCCTTAGCATTCTCTCAGGCAGAGAAGATCCCTTATGCTGATGTTTGAAATTTTATTCGTCTCGATTCACCTTTAATGATTCTACCAGTACTGGAAAGATATTCTACAAAGGATTCGTTGGGAGCACGAATTTTCAATTCGCAACGTGGATCTTCAAGCTGAGCATCGGACCCGTTTCGCTCCGACCGCGCGACGTGTTGACACGTCCAAGATACGTCAACCGATAGATAGTGTCTAGATACAGTGCTGATATTCGTTCTCTTTCGCTCGTTAGGACAGAGATTCGATTCGCACCTTATCACGCACATAGCAATGAACATTATCTAACCGTTTTAATACTTAAGTATTTGAACACTAGCTTTAATTAGTCAATCACTATTATAACAATTATTATTGCATTATTATTTCAATTAATGATTAATCTTTGTCATTAATAAGTAGAAGATATTTTTTCTTTCTTTTATTTCCTCTTGTGCACGTTGAATTGCACGTTTTAATTTTTGCATACTTGCACATTTAATTACTTTTCAATTTGAAATTTCGTCAATTTCCATCAAAAATTTGCATTGCAATTTCTTCGATTCACTGCATTTGCGCATTCTTGGAAAAATAAATTTGGATTTCCTTATGTGTTTCAATTTTCGCCTTATCTAGGCATACATACGCAAAGCAATAAAATCCTCTCGGATTAATCAATTCTCAACTCCTTTATAATTTGTATTTTTGTATACATTTTTGAATTTTCTATTTTGGAAACCCGCACTAGTACGCGATGTCTTCAAACTCAGCATTTATATTGCGTTTTGGTACCATTTCTTTGCGCCTACTGCAGAGTGAACTAAACACATTTTTGCATAATGAGTTCCCTGCACTCGCAGACTTCGAGTCTAAATCCACCCCTGACCTCAACCGCCTCATCATAAAGTCAGATCGAAAGCGCCTGATCTCCTACCTTTTGGACCAACTCAACTGCTCAGTGCAGCCGGATCAACTTCCACTTTTGGATACATCCATTCCGCAACTAGATTCAATCAGTGAGGACGAATTTTCTCGGTTAGAAAACGATCCAGAAAACCCTACATCAAAAGCTCCAGACACCACTACTTTTGCGCAGTCAATTTGGACGGACTCGTTTCTTCCTACTTCACACTCCGCATACACTCAGTCTATGGGCGCCATTCATCGACTTCCTGACCCTTCCAAGATGACAGTAGCGGAGATCGCAACTGAACTTTCCAGTGTCTACAACCTCGGATACAACTTTAAGACTCAAAAGCATGCAGCCGCTTATCTGAGAGATCTACGCACTGGAACTATATCACCGCGTTACCCTCATAGTTTAGGGATCACATCAACCGCTCAACAGCATTCTACCGTATCCAACGTGATCAGTCAGCATCCTGGCACCATACACTCCATGAACCCAGTCAACCCTACTGAGCTCTCCTTCAACTCTCTTTCAGCACAGATCGGGGTTTCAACGTCAGCTGGTTTCGACCATTTTTCAAGTTCAAATTATGAAGAAAATAACGCAAGACAACATGCTCACACAACATTTTCGTCAAACTATGCTCGCCCTATCTCGCATCACTGGGCTGGAGGAACTTTTCCTACACAATCCACCTCTCACTCCATACCTCTCCCATCTTTGGCGCCATTTAATCCCCATGTTCCTCAGACTCACCCTATGACATCTCAAGCACCTCCTCACATTTTCTTAACCCCTCCTGAATTTTCCGCTCCTAAGGAAAATCCTTACATGCATCTAGATGGCAACACATCTTTTGTGCGCATGCCGAAAGTGCAAATACCCCCTTTCGATAAAAAAGACCCAATGACATGGCTAAAAAAATATGAGCTACTAACTGCCCACTGGAGCTCATCTTATAAAGCACGTTTTTTGCCCACATATCTAACAGCAGCAGGTGAAGAATGGCCAATCAACCACGCAGCCGCATTTGCATCTTCAGACTGGGATAACATTTGCGAATTATTTAAATTCTATTATAAAGCTCATAAGGACCATTTTGCGGAAGCAGCTGAGTTCCATAAAGCCATCCAAACTGACACAGAATCAGGACTCATTTACGTTGAGCGTAAACTTGCTCTCGCACAAAAATTACGTCACCCGCCACCGGAAATAGCAATTGTGGAAAATATAATTTCAGGTCTACTTCCTCCATTGCGGACGACAGTATACTACAAAAGCCCACAAACTATCACAGCACTTCGCTTAGCAGTCAAAAAAGCACAGGACGCCTTACCCATCCTGCATCCATCCAGCAATTCCACCGCCAATGTCAATGCACTACAAATGTCATCCTCACCAGCTGTCGGAATTTTATAAATGGAAATTTTTTTTTAAATTTTATAAATAGAATTTTATAAATGGAAAATTTCCTGAATTAAGTGTAATAATGTAATAGTGTAATAATGTTTCCTGATGTAAATTTTTTGTGAAAAAAAAAACAAAAAAAAATTGTGCTTTTATAATAAAAGGCAAAACAAACAGAGAGATCCCCTTTTCAAAATTTCTATTTTCAAGCATTTCGTTTCCCTCCCCCCCCCAAATTCAAACTTCCATTTTTCAATATTGTCTTTTCAAAATTTATCTTTCAGATTTCCGATTTTCAAAATTTCGTTTTTGCTTCTCCAGCCTGTGTCTCAGTTTTCGTCCATTTTCTCTTTTCGCCGAGTCGGTGGTATGTCGGAGAGTGACGTTTCCGTGAATCTGAGATTGTCGGCAACGTCCCCCTCCGCCTCGCTATCGCGGCCCGAGCGCGCATGCGTTTGCGTCTGCGCACTCGCGGAGGCCGGCAGCCAGCGAAGCTGGTCTCGCGCTGGCGGAGCAGGAGCAGTCAGTCGGAGAAATGATCTAGCTGTGGCTCATGCCTGCGATCTTCCTTCACTCAATTTTCACAGCCAAAACCCTACCTCTCTCTTTGGTTTGTCATTGTCATCCGAATTTTAGCGAGTTGCTCTCTTCTGCCCTTGTTGGCTGCTTTCTTTCCTGATCAGGAGCTACGCATTCCGACGTTACGCTATTTGCGGCAACGAAACGGAATCGCGGCAGCTCTAGACAGGAGGCCCAGCCAACACTCCCGTAGAGCCCTGGTGATCCCCACGAGGGGGATCCCCACACAGGGAGATTTATCACGTCAAATATGGTTTCTTTTATTGATACTCCACAGAGTAAATACATTTCCCTAAGGGTTCTATTATTAATTAATTGCTATAATTTTGTGACAGGTTGATCCAGAAAAAGGTATTTCTTTAAGGTTTCCAAGGTTTCTGAGGATCCGTGACGACAAATCAGCTGAAGATGCCACTAATGCTCAGCAGGTAAATGCCTTTTTTAAATTCTTGCCCTCTTTCTTGAAGATGTTTATCTATTAACTAGGGTGCAAGCACCCTCCACCAAGCACTGCTTTGCAGGCCTTTGAGTTAATCTAAATACAATTGACTCATCTAGGGACTATTTTCCATTGATAGTAGCTAAAATAATGAAAATTACCCGGGTAGATCTTTAGAGCGAACTGTGACAAAAAAAGGAACACTTACATTGTCAAATGGAAGAATTTCGCAACTTTATCACCTAATATACAAAAACCTAGATCATATTTCCAAAATCTGAATAGAGCAGGCTCATCTAGAGATCATCTGAGACTTGTCGATGTCAGCAAAAATCATGGATATTGTCTCAGTAGAATGATAAAACAAACTGTGACAAAAAATGAAAGTATAGGGGGTCAGAAAGCTTTTAGTAATGCTTATGCTCCAATAAAGTTAGTAACTCAAGATGTCGCCCTGCCCTCTCTCTTCGTCTCTCATCATGTATGTGTCTGCAGGCCTTAATCCCTCTGCCATTTGGCATGCACCCATCAAACAGGTCTGAATTTCTTTCTTTCTAAAATATTATTTGATATTTTCCCAGATACCTACCTGATCCTTTTCAGGAAAAAAAATGACATCTATTGTCAGTATTTTTATCAAACTCTCTGAAAAATTTTCAAAAAAAACTGATGCCTCATTTCAATTTAATTTTCACATGACATCATGCTGCATTAGATTCTCCCATCTTCCTTGAAGGATCGCTTTGTGGCATAATCTGTGAATGTCCTGAAGTTACTTTGCCAATTCTGTAAGTTTAAATGAAAAACAGTCTATTTTAAGGTGTGAATAATCCTCCGGTTGTTCTCGTGTGAATTTTAAAAGTGCTAAGCTAGAACAACCTTTTCTGATTCTTGTTCTTATGAAAAGTAATGGACCAATAGACAAGGTACGAATTTAAGCATTCTAATACATGTTTCTTGACCAGAATTTCACGTAGAACACGATTCGCGCGACGAAAAATACCGAAATCAACTCCTAACGAAGATATTAACGTTTATATTTCACATTGGTTACGAGGAGTTTGAACTGCCCGCTCACAAGAAACTCAAAGCTCTACGTGAGTCAAATCGTGCACTAGAACGGTTTCAGCAAACTTCTCAATCAAACGATGTTCATTTCCCACTATGTGCTGTTCAAACTATAAACAACTTGTAATAGCTGAGCTAAAGTGTCAAGATTAAGGTTGCCAGATTTTTATATCGCAGAGACTGTCATGATAACGTTTAGCGCGCGGTGTGAGGCACGTAGAGCATTGAGTTTTCATGAGCGGGTGGTTTGAATTCACGCATTAAGAATCATTAAATATCTTCATAACGAGTTGATTTCGGTAATTTCCGTTGTGCGCATCGTGTTCTACGTGAAATTCTGGTCAAGAAACATTTATTAGAATGCTTAAATTCGTACCTTGTCTAGTGGTCCATTGTTTTATTTTAGTGGTGGAAAGTAAGTAGTGGACTATTTTAATTAGTTGTCAGTAATTTTTCTGATCAAAAAATTCTATCTGTTGCAGGTTGCAGATCTGTACAAAAATCAAGATCAAATAAAGAACCAAGAAGGACAGGGTAAAAAAGTTTCAGAGGAAGATTTTTATTAATTCTCATTTGTTATTTTTCGGTTTTCTACCTGAAAAAAGACTGAAAGAAAGAGTGTAAATTTTTTAACTGCAATTGGCCGTAAGTAAAGTTATTTTCAATTTTTTTAACCGTCTCTCATATTTTGCTAATTCAAATTAAATGTTTATGTGTAAATATTTTAACGTCGTTGTTCCGCAAATTCAAGTCATTTTCAAAATTGTAATGAGTATCTCTCATTTTTTGCCCATTCAAATTAAATGTAGTAATTTTCTGTATTTGACATACAAGTATAAATAGTAAAAATAAAAACTTATGAATAGAAATTCCTAAGTGTCTTTTATCTGTACTAGCTCTTATTGCTATCCCCCTTTTTTTCTTTTTCCTTCTTTTGGAAAGTTGATTCAATTTATCATTTGATATATGATAATTTTTAAGGCCTACCTGAACAATTCAAAAAATTTCATAACTCAGATTTGCTTTTCTTTCCATTTGACATCCCATTAGCTGTAAAGATGTACAAAGAGAGATGTGTAAAGTCTGCAAAAATGATAAAACAGAACACTTATCCTCTCCTGAGACATATCAGTAAATAGACTTCCAAGATTTATACGTTGATCTTGAGATAGGTAGTAGCAAGATCAAGAAACAATTTCACCGCAACTAATCAAATCTTCACCTGAAAACACAGTTTTGAATCAACATTCTTCTGGGGACGTGGTTTTACTTTTAATTCCTCTTCATAAATGCTACGAGATGAATTTCAGCTGTCTGTGCCTGTTTGCGACTATCCAGAGTAAAAAGAATGTTGGCGTAGGGAGGTCAGTTTTTCCTAATGAATATTTTTATTTTCTTAGGTTGAAAAAAAAATTTTGATCAATGTGAGCTTGTGACAGAAACTACTCTTAAGTAGAAAAAGAAAACGAGTTTGGTGCAGTTTTGAAAACGATTATAAACATGCATACCATATGAATCATCAGGGTGCTCTGGGATCAGAGCAATTCAAACACAGAAAAGCACTGAATGCCACCATTAACAGGGTTGCGTTCATTGGTACTGAAGTGAGGCCTTTGATTAACAGAAGGAAGGAATGTTGAGGGGACTTGAAATGGATTTTAAACGGCGATCTGCGGCATCTAAACACGGGACCATGTCCGTAATGAAGGAATTCGCCAGGTGATGAAGTTTGAAGAGATATCTTGCACGACGCCATGTCCAGACAACTATGCTGCTGGGCGATCGAGGGTGTAACCGCTCTCAGAAGGTCACGGCGGACCGCTGTTCCTTTTTGAAGGAAAAAGGAACCAAGTCCCGTCGGGCAATTTTCTTTCTCTCTCGCACTTATACGCGAGACGCTTGGCTGTTTTCTATCTCTCCCGCACACTTGAGCGAGCCGCCAAGGGCAACCGAGGGCGCAACCACTCTCAGAGGGTCGCGGGGGAACGCGATGCTGCTTTGACGGCAAAACCACCCAAGTCCAACCGAGCGATTTTCTTTCTCTCTCGCACTTTTGCGCGAGCCGCCTGGCTGTTTTTTGTCTCTCTCGCACACCCAAGCGTCCCGCCAGCCGATTTTCTATCTCTCTCGCACACTTTAGCGAGCCACCTGGCTATTTTCTGTCTCTCTCGCACACAATCGCGTCGTGCAAGGCGATTTTCTATCTCTCTCGCACTTATACGCTTGCTACCTGGGCGATTTTCCGTCTCTCTCGCACTGGGTGCCCTCAAACGGGGCAACCGAGGGTGCAACCACTCTCGAAGGGTCGCGGGGGAACGCGATGCTGCTTTGACGGAAAAACCACCCAAGTCCCGCGTAGCTATTTGCTGTCTCTCTCGCACTTGTACGCTTCCTATCTGGGCGTTTTTCTGTCTCTCTCGCACACTTGAGCGAGCCGCCAAGCGCAACCGAGGGCGCAACCACTCTCAGAGGGTCGCGGGGGAACGCCATGCGCCTGCTTTGCCGGAAAAACAACGCAAGTCCTGCCTGGCGATTTTCTTTCTCTCTCGCATTTATACGCGAGACGCTTGGCTATATTCTATCCCTCTCGCACACTTAGGCGAGCTGCCTGGCAGTTTTCTGTCCCTCTCGCACACCCAGGCGAGTGAGGGTAGGGTGCAGCCACTTTCAGAGGGTCGCGGGGGAACGCCATGCGCCTGCCTTGCCGGAAAAACAACGCCAGTCCCGCCTGGCGATTTTCTTTGTCTCTCGCATTTATACGCGAGACGCTTGGCTATATTCTATCCCTCTCGCACACTTAGGCGAGCTGCCTGGCAGTTTTCTGTCCCTCTCGCACACCCAGGCGAGTGAGGGTAGGGTGCAGCCACTTTCAGAGGGTCGCGGGGGAACGCCATGCGCCTGCCTTGCCGGAAAAACAACGCCAGTCCCGCCTGGCGATTTTCGTTCTCTCTCGAACTCATACGCGAGACGCTTGCCTATTTTCTATCTCTCTCGCACACCCAGGCGAGTGAGGGTAGGGTGCAACCGTCTTAAGAGGGTCGCGGGGGAACGCCCTGCGCCTGCATTGCTGGAAAAACAACGCAAGTCCTGCCTGGCGATTTTCTTTCTCTCTCGCACTTATACGCGAGACGCTTGGCTATTTTCTATCTCTCCCGCACACTTAGGCGAGCTGCCTGGCTGTTTTCTGTCTCTCTCCCACACCCAGGCGAGTGAGGGTAGGGTGCAACCACTCTCAGAGGGTCGCGGGGGAACGCCATGCGATTTTCTTTCTCTCTCGCACTTATACGCGAGACGCTTGGCTATTTACTATCTCTCTCGCACAGTTAGGCGAGCTGCCTGGGTTGTTTTCTGTCTCTCTCGCACACCCAGGCGAGTGAGGGTAGGGTGCAACCGCTCTCAGAGGGTCGCGGGGGAACGCCATGCGCCTGCTTTGCCGGACAAACAACGCAAGTCCCGCCTGGCGATTTTCTTTCTCTCTCGCACTTATACGCGAGACGCTTGGCTATTTTCTATCTCTCTCGCACACTAAGGCGAGCTGCCTGGCTGTTTTCTGTCTCTCTCGCACACCCAGGCGAGTGAGGGTAGGGTGCAACCACTGGCAGAGGGTCGCGGGGGAACGCCATGCGATTTTTTTTCGCTCTCGCACTTATACGCGAGACGCTTGGCTATTTTCTATCTCTCTCGCACACTTAGGCGAGCTGCCTGGCTGTTTTCTGTCTCTCTCGCACACCCAGGCGAGTGTGGGTAGGGTGCAACCGCTTTCAGAGGGTAGCGGGGGAACGCCATGCGCCTGCTTTGCCGGAAAAACAACGCAAGTCCCGCCTGGCGATTTTCTTTCTCTCTCGCACTTATACGCGAGACGCTTGGCTATTTTCTATCTCTCTCGCACACTTAGGCGAGCTGCCTTGCTGTTTCCTTTCTCTCTCGCACACCCAGGCGAGTGATGGTAGGGTGCAACCACTCTCAGAGGGTCGCGGGGGAACGCCATGCGATTTTCTTTCTCTCTCGCACTTATACGCGAGACGCTTGGCTATTTTCTATCTCCCTCGCACACTTAGGAGAGCTGCCTGGCTGTTTTCTGTCTCTTTCGCACACTAAGGCGAGTGAGGGTAGGGTGCAACCGCTTTCAGAGGGTCGCGGGGGAACGCCATGCGCCTGCTTTGCCGGAAAAAACATTGCAAGTCCCGCCTGGCGATTTTCTTTCTCTCTCGCACTTATACGCGAGACGCTTGGCTATTTTCTATCTCTCTCGCTCACTTAGGCGAGCTGCCTGGCTGTTTCTGTCTCTCTCGAACACCCAGGCGAGTGAGGGTAGGGTGCAACCACTGGCAGAGGGTCGCGGGGGAACGCCATGCGATTTTTTTTCGCTCTCGCACTTTACGCGAGACGCTTGGCTATTTTCTATCTCTCTCGCACACTTAGGCGAGCTGCCCGGCTGTTTTCTGTCTCTCTCGCACACCCAGGCGAGTGAGGGTAGGGTGCAACCGCTCTCAGAGGGTCGCGGGGGAACGCCATGCGCCTGCTTTGCCGGAAAAACAACGCAAGTCCCGCCTGGCGATTTTCTTTCTCCCTCGCACTTATACGCGAGACGCTTGGCTATTTTCTATCTCTCTCGCACACTTAGGGGAGCTGCCTGGCTGTTTCTGTCTCTCTCGCACACCTAGGCGAGTGAGGGTAGGGTGCAACCACTCTCAGAGGGTCGCGGGGGAACGCCATGCGATTTTCCTTCTCTCTCGCACTTATACGCGAGACGCTTGGCTATTTTCTATCTCTCTCGCACACTT